CGGTTGAAAGTTGGCTGGCTGTGAGTGCAAGGTATTTGACTGGCGGTCCACCGAATGAAGTCTTCCACATCCCGGCCCCGGCCCTCCATCAACCTCGCCGGGGATGGTGGATTCAGCCCTTCATCGTTTACACACCAAATGCAGATTGCATAGAAGAGAAGAGACACGTAAGAACTAAGAACATGGAAGACAACCCATCATTCGCAAGGGACGTCCCAAGTGGTCGAAAAGTTCGCGTTCTTTCCAAGATTCCCTTTCCCTGGTAGTTTACTCTTGTTCAATGGAGCTGGTCAGGGCATACGTGAGCGTCCACTTACACTGGGCTCGTGGGCCGAGGTCGCCGAGGGCCGGCCGGACGGGTACCGACCATTGTTCTCGAGGTCGGTTGGGAGGCGAGGAAAATCCCTCGCGTTCACGTCACTTGGACAATGGAGAGACCGGCGACCGGCCCGGTGATCCCTCTTTTGAGGATGGCACGGCACACCCCAGGAGGGTTACAGTGCTCGCCGCTCACTGCTGGACCTCGATCCGATTAGGGGGTCGACGCGCGAAGCACCTTGATCCCGAGGGAACCAACGCCGCCGTCCAACGACGCGCCAGACGCGACTCCAAATGGCGATCGAGAACGCCCTCCTCCATCTCTGCCGCCTGAACGACGCGCTCCTGGTGCAGGAGACTGCTATCCAGGATCTCCGGCGACAGACCGTCGGCGTCCTGCGGGAGGTCAGGGCCTTCCTAGCCGCCGGCGTGGCCTCAGGAACCGCGGCCGCGCCGCCCGTGCCCTTGTCGCGTGCCGCTGGCGGCCCCCGCGACGACGGCGCGCCAGTGGACGTGCTGGAGGAACCTCGGCTGGTCCCCGTCGCGTCGGGCAATCAAACGACCCCGGACGAGTCGCGAACCCTGGACTATGGCCGCCTCACAACAATCCTCACGGGCGACTTCGACCGACGGACGCAGGGCTTCCGGACGCCGCCGGACGCTCAGGACCCTGTCAACGCGTCGAGGCAGGCCCGAGCCGCATCGCTGGGCCAGGCGTGGATGTCGACAAACAAGGACCTCGCGCCCATTCAGAGCGGGTCGCTGGGGAGCGCTCTGGACCGAGCGGACGCGGAGGGGGACCAGATCGGCTCGGTGTTTTGGGCGGACGTGAACGCGATGGTGTCGAAGGACGTCCTTCGATCGCGCGTCATGGACGACCCGATTGTCAGCAGCCACCATCGTCAGCCGAGAAGGAGCATCTCCATGGACCAGAAGCGCGCCGAGCCCTTCATCGGGGCGAGCCACGGTGTACTCCTGGACTCATGCGTCGAGATGGCCATCAATTACGCTGCGACGAGTCAACTCCTGCCTTCATCCACCATCAGGACCAGCAATAGCGCTGGCGCGGAGCCGGCGCCGGGATCGATGGAGAACTCCTCCGTGCCCCCGACCAAGTCGCTGACAAGCTTGAGGCCATCCAAGAGCCTCACCGCCGACGCGGCGGGGATCGCCGCCGCTGGCGGTTCGGCGGACCCGACCATCAGCGCATGGGGCGTTGCGACAAAGGTCGTGAAGGTGGTTAAGATCCTTAAATCAAACCGGCGAAGTTTGAGCGCCTCTAGCGACGTGTCCGTTCCACCATCGACGAGCAATATGGACATCGACACTGTCCTGCAGGCATACCCCGACCAATCGATGACGCAGCATCGGCCCTCCAACGCCAGCCGGTGGACATCGCGTAAGCCCTCTGCCATCCGGAGCGGGAGCATCACGGCTGGGCCGGGGAACGTTGTGAACTCGCTCTCAGCTTCTGTGTCAGCGTCGGCGTCGGGACCTCTTCCGGTCACCGCGGAGGACGATGATGACCCCGGATCCGTCGAGGCCGAGGCTGGCTCCGTGCGGATGGATGAAGACACCGAGGGCGGCGCCGGGAGCCGGCGCGCGTCGAAAGCCACGAGGGCTTCGCAACCGGCCCTCGTCCCACCACTGCCGACGTTGGCGGCTTCAACACCAGCTCCTCCGACAGCGCTCAGCGACCAGGACCAAGCCTACCTCCAGATGCGGCAAGACACCCCCGAGCGCGACCTCGAGCGCGGCGTCGTCGTCGGGTTCGGCTGCGCGCCAGGGGTTTCTTCTAGCCGGCCCTCGAGCAGAAGCCAGCTGCCCAGCGACGACGCGATGGAGTACTGGTCCCAGGCGAGCCAGCGGCCGCCGCGGAGGTCCGAGAGCAAGACCGGTGCCACTGGGGGCGGCGGGCCAGGGACGCGGCGGACGTCTCTGGCCGCGGCGCGCGCCGAGGGGTCCAAGCCTTTGCCCGTGGCCATCGCGATCGCAAGTCCTATCGCTAATGCGCCGCCTGGAGCGGCCAAGGTAGTGGGCGAGGGCGGGGAGGTTGTGCCCATGTGGAGACGGGTTTGGAGGGAGGGTCGGAAGAGGGTGCGGGCGTGGTTGGTGGAGGAGTGCTACACGCCGTCGTTCAATGAGTTCAAGGAGGGGACGCAGGGGTCGATGGAGAGACGGTTCTGGATCGACTCGGTGTCGAAGGGCGGGATGATGGGGCTACATCCGCTGTCAAAGGTCGTGGTAGTGTGGGAGTTTATCCTTTCGCGTATGTACCTGAGTGCTTTGGTTTTTATGCTGCGTTTGTCCCTGAGTTTCATGTCCTTCCATTTCTGCTTTTCGGGCCAATCCTTACTAACTTCTTCCTTCTAGTCTTCCACATCTTTACCCTCTTCTCCATTCCCATCATCGTCTCGTTCGAGAACTTGGCCCCCATGATAGGCGAGAGGATATGTCTCCTCATCACGGGCGTTTACTTTTTGAGGGTCATCATCGCCCTGAACACGCTCGCCCTCGTGGACGCGGTCACGTCGGTTAGGACAATGTCTGCCTCCGACTCCAGGCGTGCCTATTTGGTAAGCTACTGCTTTTTAAATTTTAGCCTCATGTTTTATATTAGATGAAGTATCTGGTTATCGACCTCATCGCCGCGGTTCCCTGGGCCAACGTCCTAATAGACGCGCCATCGAACGGCGCAACCTTCTCCGCCATGGCCTTGCTCAACCTTCTAGGCGTACGGGATCTGTTTCAATTGTTCAAAATGAACCCTATTCACCACCTTGTCGCCGAGTTTGTTCAGCGGCGACTCGCCGTCGGAGCAAATTTCATGAGCATTTTCACGTTTGGCGGCATGATGGTCGTATTCTTCCACTTTCACGCGTGCCTTATCTTCCTTCTCGGGAGACTTACGGGGTACGAGGACGGGTTCTGGGGCCTTCCGGATTCTGTCGCGATCTTGGACAAGGGCACCTTCACGCAATATATCTGGGCCATGTTCAAGACGACGGCGAATACTTTCCCCGTCACCGGATTCGTGTACGTATAATTCCATTTCATTCACCATCTTCCGCTCGTGTTAACTCACTTTCTTCGATTTTTCTTTCTTGTTCTTAAAGACCGACCGGCGCGGTGGAGCAGGTCATAACGGTGCTCTGCGTCCTCTTCGGAGCCCTACTCTACGCTGCCTTGGTCGGTACGATTTCCTCGTTCAGCTTGGGTCTCGACTCGAGCGGGCGGAAGTTCAAGGTAAAATGCCATTCGATGAAGACCGATAAAATGCTAACACGCAGTGTTAGGAAATCATGGACGAGGTCAACGAGTACATGGAACACGAGCAAGTCAACACAACGCTCCGCACACGGGTGCGCGAGTTGTTCCAGCTTAAATATCACGGCAAGTACTTTGACAAGGAGTCCATCATGGCGCAGATGAACCAGTCGCTCATGACGGTAGGTTTCCATTCTTTGGTCGCTGCGACGCCTGGGCGCTAACGTTGGCGTTAACGTTGCCTCTATTCAGGAGTTGACGATTCAGACACTTCGGCCATTGATTTCGAAGGTGCCTTTCTTGAAGCGTGAGGCGGGCGATCAAAAGGACGAGGAGTTTTTGACGAGGGTCGCGTTCTCACTCAGGCCCGAGTACTTTATCCATGGCGACCCCATCGTCAGGCAGGGCGATGTGAGTGATTGCATGACTTCTCAATCCACTCCCCCCTTCAGGCGATATCTTACTGCTATGGCTGTGATGCAGATGGGCGAAGAAATGTTCTTCATTGAGAAAGGCACAGTCGACATAGAGGTGAACGGGAATGTTGTCGGCGCTTTACGAGACGGCGCATTCTTCGGCGAGGTCGCGCTGCTCGACCGCACGCCGCGGACGGCCACAATCCGGGCTTCGTCAAACGCGAAGCTGCACAGGCTGAGCAGGAACGACGTCGAGCAGATCTTGGCGGATGTGAGTTTTTTTCCCCACCTCCTTTTTCCCTGTAGTATGCTAACCCTCTTCCTTGCAGTTCCCGGATGTAGCGCAGAAGATGAAGCAGGTGTACGAGGAGCGGATGCAGAAGATCCGGGCGGAACAGGAGGCCAAGCTCCTGCAAGAGCGGCAGATGGAGGAGGCGGCGAGGAAGGCGGCTGCTGGTGTGATTTGGTAGTCGTTGTGTTTCTATGTTGAAGGGGGCATGGGTCGCCCAAGCTCTATTGGGAATCGCATCATATACACATCCGTAGACAATCCTAAGGCATACTTTACCCTTCAGTACGAAAATGTCCTTCTTAGACTCAGCTGGAAGCCAAAGGTAAACACCACCGTAGGTTCGAACAAAATATATACGTTTAAACGTCCGCGGTGATTGAAGGTTGGTCGATAAAAAAAAAAAACAGTGTTCAGGACTACACTAGTCTAAAACTTCGACCAACTGGTATTAGTAGATGGTATTTATGGTTTGTAGGTGTACTTATAATGGCGCGCTGGGTGGTGGTGAGGCGATGGTGTGAACGTCGGGAAGGGGACGTCAGTCCAGACTGCAAGAAGCTTATGAAGCTGGACGCGGCACTGGGTCGTGCTCTCGGGTGCGAGAGACGGTTACGAGGACGAAGATAGATACTTAAAGCCAACACGGGTCACTAACACAGCAGGTAATTTGCCATCACGTACAATCACAAAGGCGGTTTATTCAACAAGTCGCTTTGGCGGAGTGGTTAACGCGCTGCCCTGCTAAGGCAGTTCCCTCTGGGAGCGCAGGTTCGAATCCTGCAGGCGACGGGGATAAACTTTTTATCAGCATTATCTAATTTTTTTTTTAATAATATGAAGTTGCCGGTCCCACAAAATCTGCGGACTGATAGATCTTTTAATGCACCTACTGAAAGCCACTGCATTTACTCCTGCTTCATTTACTGAGAAGATAACGCTATAAGATTGCAAGAACATACACTGGGACGATTGCAAAAATACACACTTTTCGACACTTCACAAAACTTTTTATCCGCCCCAGCGATTTTACTATTTTGCATCCCAATTTGCCGTGGTGGCTTGAGACTTTTACTCCCCAGTAAAACTCTCAAGCCGCCGGTCCTTCGACATCCACTGGTTGTTGTTACCTTTTTGATGAGCACAAATATCCACTCTATCCAGCGGTTCACAAACTTGAAGTCGGCCGGCTTACTAACCTGGCATGTCCTAAATTTGTAATTGGAAGTATCATGCCACTGGTTTATATCTTCGCGGGGGTCAAGCCTAGTACGTTAAAGATAATGGTTGCATTTTTCACTTCTGTTGGGTAGAACGCTGACTGCTGTGATTGCACATCGAAATCGGTAAATACATTTTGCGAGATAAATAATGATGGAGAGACTTTAAGACCGTGCGAAAATGTCTGCAGAGAATGGAGATCAGTAAAAAACGCTAGAAATGTCGAAATGAAAGAGAAGGTCTAGTTTTCAGGAAGATGAAGAAACCAGTTAGTGTGCTTTGATCCGCCGTTCCTGCCACCGCTCCTGCGCCGGGCCGCTGCCTTCTCCGCATCCATCGACTGTATCCTGGGGTTCCCAGGCATCCCCGCGTGCATGCCATTCCCCAAGATGAATTCCAACGCCCTCTTCAGGGACTCGGCATGGTTGCCGCCGCCTGCCAGGGACTGAAGGAGGTTGCGTTGGCCAGGAAAGGTTGAGGCGTTTGCGTAAGCCTTGAAACTGGCCAGGGCGGCGTGCTTGTCCATCTTGACTCGCGTACCCGGCGCAGCCAAGTTCGCAATCCATCCCCAATACACAGAGGCCACCGGAAAGACGACGTCGCTCCGAAGTCCATCACGCTCGACGTAATGCCATCCTGCACGCATTTTCGACGTGCATCCTGCGCCAGCATGCACGACTCCTTGAGCTGCGGGGTACTTGATGAATTCAAAACCGCAAAGAACGCAGACGCCAGCAATCTCGCCCTCGCGGCCCTTGGGTCGATTGACACGCTTGCGCTGGGTCTCCGCCTGCACACGAACGACCTGTTGCTCGTGGGTCTCGCCAGGCCTCGGGACAAATTCGCCCCGCTTGATCAGAGCTGCCATGTGGTGGACCCAGATATTGCTCGAGTATCTCTTCCCGGCCTCGGCGATTAGCTCGGCGCGTTTGTTGAAAGGAAGTCGTGAGAAGGCCGGGTCAAGCTTGGTCGCGTGCCGAATCATGAGGGAGGCGGTCTTGTTCAGGAATCCCGCCTTGAAGTGCATGTTGACGACCGTCACCGCCGCTGGCACGCTTTCAACAATCCCCCCGACGTCCATATCCTCCATATCCTCCGTATCCTCCATATCATCCTCTCCTTCCTCGTCAACCCACCAGCCCTCCGCGAACTCGGCGCCCTCGACCTCCACCAAGATGTCCTCCGTCTTAAGCGCCGCAGGTGCTGATACGTGTTTCGGTAGAGAAACCGCCGACGGGTACGGGCTGGCGATGGACTTGGTACGGACCACAGCATCCGCCACAGCAGCTGCGACGACATCCTTTAGCTGCGTCTTGAGCAGGGACACATCAAAGGCATCGAGTCGGCGCAGGAGATCGCCCTCGCTGAGTTTGTCCTTCTCAGCGCCTCCCAGCGCCTCCAGAACGTCCGGCAGGAGGCGTAGGGCCTTTGACATCATGTTGAATGCGGTCTGATCGCCGCGGAATCGCAGATACCGTAGATAGCCCGGGTCGAACCACCAGACAAAGGTCGCAAACGTGTCCACCCCTCCCTCCGGCTCCACCCTGACGACCTCCGCCTCCCCGACTGCCCATAGAAACCTTTTCGAGATCGCTGGCCCCTTCCCCATGAAAACCGGGCGATACCCCGTCCTGGCGACCACGTTCGCGGCCTGCACGGCCTTGAGCGAGCACACTCCGGCCCAAGCGCGGTCGCTGTCGGCGGGGGTCAGCTTGGCAAACTCGGCTTGGGACTTGGACGAGACTCCGTCAGGATATTCATTAAAGAACGGGATGGTGTGGCCGTCCGCGCCGGCCAGAGCTGGCTTCAGACCCTCGTGGGCGAACATCAGGTGCACCGTGGAAGTGATTATCGCTCTTGTTCGTCCTCGGAGGGTTGCTTGAGCAAGTCCTGACGCGTGTCCGAAGGTGAAGTGTCGGTGGAGTGGAGGAAGCCGACGAGGTAGGGTGGGATGGAGGGACTGAACCTCCCACCTCCAGCAGACAGGTGTTTTATACCTGGCTGGAGGCTGCCACTAGGCTCCC